TTTTAACACCATAAATTTATTCAATCTATTAGCTTCAGTATTTGTCCAGTGAACTGGATTGAAAAATGAAATAATTACAAAATGAAAAAATAGAGCAGAAATCATATTCACAGGTTTGATTTAAAAGAAAAATAAAAAGATGACAGAGACATGAAAACAACTGATCTCCCTGTAGGTGAACAGACCAGCAGTGACTGGGCCGTGCTGGTCACAGTCACCTGTGGCCTCAAATTATCTACTTTAGTGCTTGTGCAAAATAAAAAAACTAAAAAAACTTTAATTCCCACGAGGCTCTGAAACTTGATTGTTGCATCCAAATGTGTTAAATAACATTAATATAAAACAAAAAGGACAGAAACAAAATAAAATATTTCATTTTGATTTGTAGTAAACCTAGTAAGAACTTAGTACAGGTGAAAGAGGCACCACCACCACGTCTAGGTCCAGACTGATTGTTGTTGCAATGAGACCCTAGTTAAGGTCCATTTGTTTTAACATCCAATCACAGGATGCAACAGAGCAGGAAAAACAACAAAATTAAAAAAACTACACACATAAAGCAGCTGTCCCTTCACAAAAATCTCTTTACATCAATTAGCACTGCTGAGTTGTGTGTACAGTATTTGTATATATATAGATGATCATTTCTTGTTTACATAAACTAGTTGCATCATAGATAGCCTGTGCCTTTGGCAAGATTACTTACAACTCTTCTGTTAAACTCCAAAGCTATTTAAAATATACTCAATGCATAAAAAATAAACCTTTTGGCATTTGTCTGGTTTTATCSTCCAGGCTGAGGCGTTGTTAAGGAGAACGTCAGATCTGGTGCTGAGTGGTCTTTAATCTGCTGGCTGGGGGCTCCACAGGGTCATAATGAGAAGGTTTTGCTCAGCTTGAAGAAAAGAATAGAAAGAGTGCAAATGAAATGCCTGAGGAGCTGCAGCCCTGTAACAGCCACCTGTGTGTCACATGGTTGTGTTGTTGTGTTGTTGTAGCGCGGCAGTACAACATTCTGAGCCAGGAGGAGAGCAGGACTGTCCTCTGTCAGCTCTGCCTGCACAGAGCTCAGAGCTGGATCTCAAAGGTCTTCTGCAGCTCCGTGGAGAAGGGGTTTGTTGGTGAAGGTGTGGTGCGTTGGTGTGAGCGGCTCTCCAGGGCGGCCCACTGGGCCTCGAAAGCATCTTGTTGCTGCGACGGTGCGGGCTGGGCCGAGGGGGAAGGGTGGGCGGCCCAGCTGTCGTTAAAGCTGGCGCTGCCGTTGGGGGGCTGGACGGGAGCACAGTGCAGCTCTGTGGACTGTGGCGGGGTTCTAAACGGGGGGACTGGACTGTGCTGCGGGGCTGTGGGGGCTGCARCTGGGAACGATGGGGCGTGGCTGGCCGAGCCGAACACATTCGCCACCATCTGTGACGGAGTGATGCCGAACACGGGGACACTGGGCTGAGGGAACGGAAGCCCGTTGGACACGGGGTACGAACACTGAGCCTGAGTGCTGAAGGCAGGCTGGCGAGGGGGCAGCAGGGGCACAACGGGGGGGACAGGGGTTCCAGAAGGCACGAAGGCCACCTGGGGAAGGGTGGGCTGAGGAGCTCGCACTGATTTAGAGACTTCCTCCAACCAGCGGTCTGCTTCTGACGCTGTGCGTTTGTGAGAGCTCAGGACTGGAGAAGATGAGGGGGGCGGGGCTACGACTGCAGCAGCTGACTGCCACACACTTCCTGCTGGAACAAAGGAAACAATCATTACACTTCACATCTAATTTATGTTACACACTCACAAATCTGTCATGCAGCAATCAAAGTGTACAACTATTTAAAAATCCTGAGCCTGAAACTTGTTTGTGGTGATAACAGAAACGTTTTTTCTTTAACTAAAAACCCACAGTGGACATGACCAGGCTGTGCTGTAGCAGGTCCACTGACCCATTCACTCTGAGCTCAGTCTAATCAGGCCTTCTTAACCTTTCTGACCTCAGGGCCCAGTTTACTGAACTTAAAGTGACACGAGGCCCAGTCAGACATTACCAATGTATGGATC